GACGCACGGAGACCGAATTATAAGTCCCCGTTTTCGGACTTCGTCCGAACAGGGACTAATAAAAAGCAATGACGTAGCCTCTGACCAGTTTTTAGTGATTGTGTCAATTATAAACAACGAAAAATATATATTATAATAAAATGTTGGCTGAGAATTTAGTTTGATAACGTGTTAACCACTAGTTAGAGATAACTTTATTGATAACTAAATCAGATATGGTAAACACTAACATGGCCACCAGTCAGCCGTTTTTAATCAGCCACAAAACAAACCTGCAGGCATCAGTACTCCATCATGTGAGATGTTTCTTCTCTTAATAAAATCAATCACAACATGCCTGGAACAGTCAATGATGTATTCAAAGACAAAAAAGAGCCACCAGTTAGTCACAGGTCATCAAAACGTGCACCAATGTATGTACATTGTATGTATACCATTAATGTCAAATCATAAAAACAGCCAGTCTCGGCTATTAAGATACATGTAGATAGATAGATTAAAAATAAGAATGGTTGGTCTTTGTGTCTATAGCAATAGCAATATGAAAATATAATAAAAGAAAATTGATGAATGATATCTTAGATCCCTATTCTATTCGCATGAACCTATAGTCAATCTTGGCGGAAATGAGTAATAAGATACAAAGGCGAACGAAGTTCATCTCATACTGCTTCCATGCATGCATTGAGGTATTCTCAAGATAGTCTTTTTATACATTCAGACATGTTATTTTCACTGTAGCCATAATACATATATTTATATAGTGAGAGATAACAACCATAAATTACCAGTAGAACACATTTCACGCAAGTCATGCCCCAAGATCATCTGCATTCAGTAACATAAGGCACGTAAGATGATTAAACCGATTAGATCAAGAACAGGCAGCTCACAAATTTTTCAATATACATGTAGTAATTACCTGTATGGGAAATGCCAAATTATTTTATTATGTTCAACTTTTATGTTTCATGCCAACAAATATGTTTAAGGTCATGCCAACTGCATATAATAAATATCAGGGAATGAGATAGCTTCGCTGTTAGCAATGCACATTTCAATTAAAAACTGAAGATATCATTATAAAATGAACAATATGTATAGTATCAAAACAATCGGACTTACAGTTTTTAACAAGAAGTTGAAAATATCACTTTTTACCAAAAATGACAAAAATATTCATCAAAATTAGAGAATTAAAGATATCATCACAAAATGAACAAATCAGAGAGAGGTCCACATGTAGTACTTACATATGTAATATCAAAGTAATCAGACTTGTAATGACAAAAATATTCACTAAAAATAGAGAATTAGGGATTTTGACATGAAATGAACAAATCTGAGAAAGAACCATCCAAGTTACTTGCATATCAAATTTGAAAACATTCTGACTTGCGGTTTCAAAGAAGAAGTTGAAATTGTAAAGTTGACGATGACGGTCGCCGAATGACGACAGACAATCAGTAATATGAACAGCTCCACTGTGTCGACTTTGTCGACAGCGGAGCTAAAAATAGAACTTGAGGCTGGAAAACCAGGAATCCAAAAAGTTTGGCTTAATTAGAGAATATACATTTCTATATACATTTAGTTTTCCTAAACAAAATGAAGGATGGGCGGTTGTTAGGTTGGAGTTGCTGCAAGAGTATAATTTTAATATTAAACATTTTCGTGGAGCAGACAATGTGTGCGCTGACGTCCAGTCCAGTCTTGGGCATTAGACAAATATAGGAGTCAGAAAGTGTATATGTAAAGTTTAAGTCAGTGTTTGAGAATAATAAATTATGTACCAAAGACAAAAATATACTAAAAATTATTGAAAATCTATATAAATAGCAAAAAGATTAAAATGATTTTTAAAAAAAAGTGCAAATAACCATTGTTAAAAAGATTTTGTATTGATCGACTAAGTAAATGTTTCTTTATAAAGGGGGGAGGGTATGACATATTTATGTGTATTTCTATTTTTTTTGAACGTCAAGAGTGGTAATTTTTATCGTAACTTGTATGGTTTCAGTTTTGTACTGGGTATTAGTTAAAGTTGTGTAAATTTGGGAGCATGAACGCTCATTAGGTAGACTAAGGAGTCATACAAGAGGTTGTTGAACTACGTCGCGGTGACTCATTACCGCATGGCCAGCACGAGATCTGACCAATATGTAGTGTCGCTACATTCGTTCAAGTTCAGTAACTACTTCAACAAGAAGCGTATATTTGTGTGTTCATCGACCAACTCCTTCACTTCTGAGCTAAAAGTACACTAACATCGCCAGTTTCAAGTACGTGAATATCGCTAGAGCCAAACGTTTGATAACTCAAATCCTGTATATCTGATATTACCACACCTACCGGCACATGGTTACAGGTATTTAGATTTCCTGTGAAAACTGACTTTTTTCCAGGAACTGAACTGATTTATACTGATATATTTGAATGTACATGATTAATTAAGGAGCAACATTCCAATTGTGTTAGCGTATTGTGCCACAATCCATTCTAATCTATAAATAATTGCAACGGGATTAGTGGTATATTCTAGCCACGGTTAAGATAACTGAAGTGGAGTTTGTTGCTGTGTCCAGCCGTAGTCTGGCGTTAATATTTGATATTTGTGAAATATTCTGAATGCTTGGCTTTGGTTTGTTACAAGTGAAAGGCCCTAACCCTAACCCTATGTGAATAAGGCCTGAACGCTAGTAGTATTGTAGGATGTAACACACGTTGCTTTGTGACATTGGGCCATGACAGGAACAATCAAGCATGCATTTCAAAAATGTATGAACAGATGTGATTTCTTGCCTTGATGTTTGTCAATCTCGAGAATAAAGACATGAAAAAAGGAAAATACACACAAGTCATCAACGATTATTTATAATTAATTCAGAATTAAGTAGTAAGCCAGCAATATACATTTACTAGGGGGTATTGGGGGATTGGCACGACAGGGGGCCATCCAATCTGGATGGAACATTTCAAATTCAGTTATTCAACACAATAACGTCATTTTATGAATACATGAAAACATTTCAGCAATTTCTTTACGAAATAATCCTCAAAGAAACTTAGAGACATTACAATGTAC